GTGTTCAGATACTATATTCCGGTAGAGTTGGTGATACTTTATAATAACTAGAGTTGCAGAAGGCTTTCTTGAATTATTAAGAAAATAAATGTGAAGCAGAGAATCTTCTTAATTCAAACTGGGCATATTGAAGTGTAACTACATAGGAAAGCACTGATAGGAGTAAGCTTTAGCTTTATAGGCTTCTCATAGAAAGAATGTGTATACTTCATAAATTCAAACTTCTTAACACCTTATATTGAGGGTTTTTTTTACTATTTTAAATGCCAAATGATTTTGGCTAGGTTCTGTGTATCTTGCTTTAGATACTTGTATAAAGTGCTGATAATTGAATTGCGTCTTGGACTGTTGGAATGTCAATAAATGTTTTTATGATGATCTGTCTTCTCTGGTCTTTATTTGCTCTCTTAAGCTCTCTAGTATGCCTTAATACCTGTTTGAACCTAGAACTGCTTTTCAGACCAAATATTCATAATCAGGAATCTGTATATTTTGGGCATTATAGAAGTATTACAGTGTATGGAGGGAGGAAGATGTTGGGTTCTTTCCATGGATTAAAGCAGTGACAAGTGTTGGTGTAGTTCAAATACTGGTTTTCATTGCTGGTCTTCATGCCATCTTTTTCCGTTAGACATTAGGTGTGGAACTACAGTTGCCACCGTCATGTGTCCCAAGGTCTTGTAGATTAAATGCTCTTCCTTCCTAATGCCCTACTTGAACATAATCTTTCAGGCACAAGATTAATAGCCCATCTGTAGTTCTGCAAAATGGGTTCTGCTTCAGAGGTCCTTGGAGCCAGTGAAGAGGAAACTGTTCTGCCCTAGCAGTGTGCTGGGTGGCCACCCAGAAGCCCACTTGTCATCTGCAGTGCATGTGTACACGCAGGGCATCAAAACAGCCCTCTGGGGAAAGGGGAGGCTTGAAGTAAGAGCACAGATTAATTTTGGGAGTATTTGGGTGCAGAAGGGACAAGTGGTGGGTGGGAAAGAGGGAAGGTGTACTGCTGCACTGAAAGCTTATAATAAAAAAAAAAAATTGAAAGGCAGATGTGGCACGGTTTCTGTGGCACAAGATCAGTGTTTGAACTTCTCCAGGGCCAAATAGTGCTGGGCAGGGACTTTCAGCTTGTTCTTTTTCCATGCCAAAGAATAGATACCATTCTGCGTCTTGTCATTAGGGAGAACACTTTCTCTCCCTGTTCATTGCTTACAAAAGGGAAGGCCGTTGGGGCCACTCTATCTTTTTACTGGTGGAAAAAAGAGCTGCTTTCTTTAGTCCTATTTGATATAAAGAACACTTTGAAAAACAGTGACAAGAATGCAGTAGCAATAGTGGAAAATGCGTTTCTGCATTTTAATAGCTACTACAACAGTCATACTAGGTGCATGTCCCTGGCAGGACTGCTTATGGGCTATGAGGAAGAAGATGCTTTCATCTAGACTGCAGCTACAGAGAGCTGATCTCTACAGGTTCTTGTTCTGATGGGGCTGGCTTGTGCAAAAGTGGGAGAGGAAAGGCGAGGTTAGTATCTGAGAGTCTGTAAAAGAAATGTTGTATGTGCTTCTCCTGCCTTTGCTCGCATGGATGTGTGGTCATCATGCTTAGTCTGGACGTGCAGCTGCTCTTGTGTTTAATTCGGTGTCCAAAGACCTTTTAGAAGACGAGTCTGTGTCCTACAGATGTATTTCATAGTATTTATCACATAGTACAGCACAGTGTTTGACAAACGTTGCATGGGGGAGGGAAGGCGCTAGAGATTAGAGCCAAAAGTCTTTACTATTTTTGGGTACCCAACTTTGTCAATATTTCAGCTTAAGTTATCATAGTATTTAGTGTTACATCATGCTTCATATATTCATATTATATCTCCTCTTGACTTCAGTTGTGGCTATTGCTATTTATCACTTTTGCATCAGAAGGAGAGTCAGATTAAGAATATGTTTAAAAATAACATTTGAAAGATCATGATTGTTTCCAATCATCATGTAAGAATAAAGTTCAGCTCTTCCTGAAGATGCCAGTCTTCTCAGTTCCACTTTCAAATCCAGGTTACAGCCGAAGCAAGGTCCATACACACAAGATATATGTTTGGTGTACGTGGAATAGGGGCAGTATCAATAATAATCTGGTAGTTCTTTCGTGTTCGTACGATAAGGAGCCAGAGCTCTAGCTGGTACACAAACAGTAAGGTTCTATGATTATAGTCTCCAGCTCCTTGCCTTTCTTCATCGTTACAGGCAGCTTTAGTGATTATCTGAATCACCTTGCTCAAGCCCTTTGAAGTCAGAGAAAAGTTACTGTGTTCTGTAGCTTATCTGCTCCAGGTTATCAGAGAAACCTTTTCCTTCTGTTAGCTTTCCCTGTGTTCTTCCAGCTGTTGCTGGTGGGAACTGCTATCCTAAACCCTCTAAGACTGGCTGAACAAGCTCTATTTAGACTAAGCCTCATCAATCAGAGACTGACAATTTATTTACTTCATGTGCCATGTGCATCAATAGCTATCTAGTGACACAAATTTGCTGTTCTTAGAGAAGGGATTTGAGCAGCAGTTATCAATGAACATAAACACCATGCACTTGAGGTATTACTCTGTGTGTTTGGTACCATGGTGAAGAACTGTGTGGTACGGTGGAATGGCAGGTGGTCAAGATGATACGCAAAAGGGTAATTTGTAGTTTAGCTGAAGGTAAGTCATCTGCCAAGGACAAGCTTTTTCCATGACACACTGTTTAAGCTGAGCGTAGCACTGTGGCACGTCTCTCCCATGTGCTTCACGTTTCAGGTGTGGCGGTTGCTTGATATAGCAGACGGGATCCATTGCAAGTGCATAATTTTGGGGCGTGTTTATGGGAATGAGAGATAAAAGAAGGTCTGCATTGCAAAAGGGTTGCTTGCTATCTTGTAGCATCAACCCCTTTTCAAAACAAAAGGGAAGGTTGGTGTCAATTACATTTTTTATAAATGAAACTCTCATTGCCTGTAGTATTCCTACTAGATGAAGTGAATACTGATGTCGTGTTCTGTTTTTCCCCGTTTATCTGCAGCATGAATAGGTTAAACACCTTGCCAAGGGGATTTGGTTCTTTGCCAGCTCTGGAGGTTCTTGACTTGACTTACAACAACTTAAGTGAAAATTCTCTACCAGGAAACTTCTTCTATCTGAGTAAGAAACTTTTATAATAACTTTACAAATCTTCATGCTTCACGCTTCATGCTTTGCTTTCTGCAGCTGAAATTTGTTTGATGGAGACCAAACTCCAACAGAATTTTTCTGATGTTTGTTTTTTGTTGAATATCTTGAATATTTCTGTGTAGACCAGCAATATTTATCACTGATATACAGTCAACTGACACCACTGGACACAAGAAGACTTGGTTAGTAATGGTATATTAGTTTTCTTCTGAGTAATATTTCCTTGGGTCCCGTAGTCAGTTAAAACTTAAAATTTCATGGAAGCTTGCAGGCCTCGTGGTGAAGTAAACTGTTTTGCAAGGCAACTGTTATGTGTTGACTCTGGAAATGATTGTGTTTGTTACTGAACTAGTTTTAACAATGTGTGGATGTTGAAGTGTCCAGTATGTTAAAAATGTGCACCACTTGTCGCCTTCGTTGGCGTGGCGACCAGCTTGGCACTGGAGTGGTAGAGCTTAGGTGACCTTTGCACATGTTAAAAACAGACGCTCAGAGAATTAAAATAAAGGTATTGTAATGCATATGTGCAAAAGGGCCGCATTATGGTTGCCTAAGCAACTTGAATTCTGGCACTCTCTGGATTTCAGTGATTCTACTACCTTGCTGGTCTTTTTAGTGTGCTATGCTGAAGTGGCTTCAGGATCAGTGCATTTAGCAGCAAAAGTGACAGGTGAGGGGAGAGGAAGGAGCGCCGCTGTCTGAGGGATTTCGTGATTGGAGCCTGGCAGAGGGAAGTTTTTAAGTCAGCATTGTTAAAAATGGTCACATTTAATGAAATGAAAAGAGGAGGAGGAGGAGTAAACTGCATAAGACAAATGAGGTGATCTCTTTGGTGGGAAGGAGAGGGTTTGCTGACCTGACTGCCTGCCTTCTGTTCCATCTGACAGTTCTTTGCGAGTCTCCATTTAAATTTTTTTTTTTTCCAGACTGTCATGTATGCTTGTTCAACAATAGCAAGTTACATGGTTGTGCTGGGTCATCTCATTTTCTCTGAATTTTGTAGAGATTGAGCATGGGAATTATACAATTTGAGTTGTCTGTATTGCTGTCTTTTAAGGTCTCTTTCCCAGTGTTCGGCTGTGCTTTCTTTAGGGTTTAACACAGAGGTGTATTTGTCAAAAAAACTCACTTTTAGTATTTGTTTAGGATGCAAACTGATGTAATAAATAAGAATTGGGGGTAATAAAGAGTAATGACTGTATTCTGACAGCTGAGCATTGAGACTGTGTGCCAGAACCTGCCAGAGTCTGCTATTGTAGAAATTGTTAATTGTGCCAGTCCTTTTGAATATAGATGTTTTCCTGAACTCACCAACAATACAATAAGCCAGTAAATCTAAGTTTGACCTGCTTGTTATTATTGTGATCCCTGGGTATGTCAAAGGCTTTTCACCGAGTCAGGATTATTAATCAAACCTGACTCCCTTTTATTGATTAGACCTCAAATGGTTGGGTTATATGCCACCCTGTTTATATATTGCTATTTAATTTGCAGCCACCCTGCGTGCACTCTATCTAAGTGACAACGATTTTGAAATCCTGCCGCCAGATATTGGGAAGCTCACAAAGTTGCAGATAGTAAGTAATTTATCTAAATTCTTGGAAAATCAATTCACTTTTGCAACGCTTGTAGGAATAGAATCTGGTCAATTTGAGCAGTACTGGGGGATGTTTGCAGGAATAGACCACTACACCTGGAACTGTTTCTTGTTTACTAGCTGACACTTGTAAATAAATTGGAAGAATTGAGTGTTTAGGAGAAAGGTGGGGGCAGAGGGAGCAGAGTTCTGTTGTAGGCTGCTTTATGGTAACCGAACGTTGTTCTGACTACTCTGTATTCGCTCTTAGCTGAGTCTTAGAGACAATGACCTGATATCACTGCCTAAAGAAATTGGTGAGCTCACTCAGCTTAAGGAACTTCATATCCAGGGAAATCGTCTTACTGTGCTGCCCCCAGAACTAGGTAAGATTATGGATGATGATTTATTTATTTGAATAATAACGATAATGATGCACGGCGTTTCCTTTGAAACGAAACCAGTTGCTAAAGTCTAGGAAATGAGTATGCTGAAGTCGTCATTGCTGCTAATACTTACTTTCCCCTGAGAAACACTCACTTCACTCCGACTGGATATGCAGGAGGGGCCAGAAGATGATATGTGTTTGGTTTGATTAGTTTTTCACATGTTACAATTGCCTGGTGTATTAGTACACCTGACTGCCAATTTGTGTATAGCGTCTTGCTTTCTATAATATATCATAAATATTGGGTCTTCAAAGCTATTCTTGTCTCTGGCTGGGTTTTGAGAACACTATTTGGATAAGCCAAAATTATATGAAGCAAAAATGACAGCAGTATAAGTGGCTTTTTTGTGACTGTTCCTGTAAAAATAGGAGTTTGATCAACTAGAGCTAAATTAGAGGAATTTTTTGTTTTTTCCATTTCAATAGCCTGCCTTTCTTAGTGAGTTGACAGCTCTTTGACTTAAAGCTGTGGAGCTTGTTGATGTACTTCGAATTTGTGATATGGGCCATTTAAATATGGTTACACGTGCCTTCTTTCTACCTTTAAGGTAGAGTTTTTCTTTGAAACTGAAGTACTGATTTTGATGAATTCGTATTGTAGTATTCCATTTTGTGTGAGGGGCATTAACTTCAATAGAAGTTGTGCCTGTTTGCCCAAGCCAGAATATGGTTTCAGATCTTTTTAAAGTTTGTTTTGTTGGGAATATTGTAGCTGCTTCAATTAGCTGTTGTTGAAACACCTGTTACACATTTTATTTGTGGTTTCTTGTTACTGTGAACTGTTGTATAGGGAAGCTTCTTTGTTTCTACTAGTACCTTCCAACTAATAGTTCCCAAAACTCAGAAAGGTAGTGACTGAACTTAGCATGATAAAGCAAAATTATTTGTTGTCATAAGAACTTCCTTCGACCCATTAGAGAATGTAGTAGCTGTGTGTGTAAATGTGACAGTCTCCAATGTACGCGTTTTGTTTTATGCAGCAAAGTAACTGCTTTTTTCTGAGGTGGGAGAAGATGTTTGTTTTGACTTTTGTTTACCCACCGTGGATTTTTTGCCTTTATCAGTCTCTATGTAGTGGACTATATGATGCTGAGTATTTTTTTTTTCTTTCTTGCCACTGGTATATGAAAGTTGCTCTCATTTCCTTGATTTCAGATGCTTATTCCTTGACACAGGCATACTTTCTTTAGCTTTTGTCAGTCATATTTATTTATAGAGTCTCTTTCAACAGCAATAAGATTTCACAAGCATGTGATATCTGTAAATGTACTTTTATGTAGCTTCCTAAATTACAGCCTTGTTTTTTTTCTAGCCTTGTTTTTTTTCCAGAAAGTGGAAGTTAAATGCTGCACTGGCTAATTAGATGTTCTAAACACGCTGCTGCCTTACAAACATGACAGCAAATTCACTTTAAATGGTTTTACCATGGTTGTCCAAACCAAATGGAAATATTTGAAACAAAATTCTTGATGTTTATTTCCACTGATCTGCAAAACACAGGTTGGCCAAGGGAAGCATTTCTCCTTTTATTTAACATTTGTTTGCATTCTATGACAATATCACAATCTGGTAGAAAAGCGGGTTGTGATTTTGCCCCACCTGATGCTTGATACAGCTTAAGATCTTGTTACCTCTGTTCTTTATTGCTCAAATGCTCTTCTATGAATAACACTTTTCTCTTCGTGTATGAATTTACCAATATTTCATTTTATGGTCTTACCCAAGATCCTCATTCATGTGCAGCTGGCGTAATTTCTATTGTAATCTATGCCATGTGTAGTGCTAGAACTGTCTCAGATATTTAAAAAAGCCTAGCTTTTGTGTTATATTTCCAGACAACATTACACTGAAGTGTAGATTTGTAACTTGTGCAACTTGCAAGCATATTTACTGTGCAAAGCAATGTTCTTGCTTGTTTATTAAACATCTAGGCAAACATTTAGGGAATGGATTTTAGCAAATAGAGCACCAGACTGGGCTTTGGAGGGCTTGTTTGAGATCAGGTAGGAGCAGGCCACAGACAAGCATGAATCTGTTGAATGAGTAGAAAAGGTCACATCTTCTCTGCAGGCCTGTTTTTGCTTCTGCAAACGAGGGCAATTTAGAGAAGCACGCTTTTGCAGACAGTTTTAAAGTCTGCCAATGAAAGGTGGTATGGGAGTGTCACACCCTGATGAATGGACTGCTAATTCCATAGTCACTGTCTGAGGAAAAAAACAATTTAATTATCTGCTTTCTGAATTCGGTCGCCTAAATTTTTAAAATTGAATTATAATGTAAGGAGAACTATCCAAATACTTTGTGCTGTGTGTGTTGGATAAATAGCTTTTCAATGAGCAAGTCCTATTTGCATTAATTGGAGGCACTGCTGTTCCATTTAAAATAAACAATCTTTCCTCTCTCATTATTGCTTTCATAATTAAAGCTGCTGAAGGCTTTTGACTGCCTTAGTTCGGGCACTGGTGGACAGCAGTGAATCATTAGATGTTTGTTTACTGGGGAGATGGGCACAGTATAAACACCAGAATAAAACAGTGTGTTTGAATGAGGAGAAGAGGAGGAGTACATTAAACTGATTTTTAGAAGTAAGAGAAAAAAGTCCAGAAGGTGGCATGGAGGGTAGGGTATGAGAAAAGGCCACAGACAGGCACTTGGATCACAGTTTTGGAGTGGAGAGAGGTACCAATAAATAAAACCCTGCAGTCTGCTCTTAATTTCACCTAATGTGATTGAGAGTGGCACATGCCCATAAGAGGCCTGGGGAAGATCAGTATTATCCTCCTCTGTGTTTAGCAGAGAATACCCGTCACTAATTTAAGAAAAATATTCTTGCCCAGGAGGAAAAGAGGGGTCTAGAAGCGAACACTGGTGCTCTGGGTTGAAGGTGCTTGTCTGTAAATACAGTGCATGTGAATGATGAATGCAGGAAATGGCCAGGAGGAGTAGGTGGGTGGAATTTGCAGCTTTTTTTTATCATTTGTCTCTCAAAAACCCGTTCATGAGGAATGGTGGTGGGCAGTCATATATAAACTTTAAAGAAGCACTGGTATTTTTTTCCTTAGCATTTAAAAGGTTATGTACTGCATTGTGAGACAAATAAATCATGATTCACTACAACAACAGAGTTGGAGTCAGTTATATAAATTGCCAAGTAAGCACTAAATCTGTCACTTTGTGTATTCTGACCGTTTAACAATTGGAACAGTGTTTGGGAAGAAAGCTGAGTAGAAATGAGAACCATGTAAAGTGGCAGATGCAATTAGTAAGATCAGTGACGGTGTTTTAAGTTCATTGTGTGGTCATCTGGGTGTATCACCCATATGTGCCACACAGAAAATTTTCTTAGTGGAGTCAGGAGTGTTAGGGTAGTACGTGGTGCAGAGTATTCACAAAGTTCTAGCTAAATATAAAGAGCCACCCAGAGAATGTACCTTATCTGTAGATTTGTGGTTTTGAAGTGGAAACAAATGGTATGATTTTTAAAACCCAGAATCCAGTGTTGACTGTGTTTGTTACCCTGCCGCCAACACACACGTGTGTGCACATGTACAGAGTTTGCTCATGTTTATGCGTATGAGAAGAACAGTGACTTTTAAAGATGCATTTTTAATTATCATCCTCTGTTTCCAAAGCTGAGTATTGGCATCAATGCCTTTTAAGTATACTATTCAATACTGTTCTAGTTTAGCGAATAATTTCTTCAGGTGAAGGGAGACACCGTCAAAACCGTGAAGTTAGGTACATACTTGAAAAGTGGAAAATTCAAGCTCTTTAAAAAGGAATAAAAAACTTGATAGGGTAAGTAGCCATGTTCCTTTTCAAGGAGGGTGAAACATTTTGTAAGTTAAATCTGTGTGTCAGAATGGCTAAGCTGTCTTCTGTGGATAAAGGATTGGCTTTAAGCAGAAAGTTCAAGGAATCCTGTGAAAAGTCTCAATACTTCCCTCACAGGAAGACATTTTAAATTTAGGCTTTTGAAATGACTCTAGAATTTGTAAATGAGTATTGTAGTTGCTGCAGTTGTTTGTTCAAGTTAATATTAATCGAAAAAGCAGTTTACTTAGGTAATTATAACAGGCGTATGCAAACACGGGAATCACTTATTTCACAAAAGATATTTCTTTTCTAAATATACTTGATGTAAACGCCCAACTTTTCTTATTTCAGTATAAATTGTCACTGCACTCTACCTGTGTCGCGACACAGTGCTGCTCACACCTGCAAATACAGGTCTGTGGTGCTTGTTGGACATCCTGGGGCTCTTTGGACACCAGCTCTGAGCCCTGGATCAACTAACTGAGACCTTGCAATTTTAAAAGATTACCTGTTTCTACGTTTGGAACTAGGGCAAAGGTGGTGTAAGAAAGCAAGGAGCTTTACTGAACTTTCCAGTGGATAAACAAAATAACTTGTTTTCTAGGACTACTGATGTAGCAGTTATTCCTTAACTAATAACAGAAAAGTATATGTAAGAAGATAAGCCACAGAGAGATTATTTAAGAAAAGCATCTCTGAAAATTTGTGACTATTCTAATTGTGTTTCTCATTTTAGGCTTATTTTAAGTTAAAAAACAAAAAAAAAACACCAAACCCCACCACTTTCTTTGTAGTTAGAAACCAGGCTGATTCCACAGAGTACTTGATGGGAGTTAAGACGTATGGGAAGAGATGACAATTCTACCGTTTCATTATACACAGAAAGTGTTTTCTGTGGTCCATTATTTAGCTTTACACAACAGGCATTCATTTCCTTACACTGCTGTAGTTCTTGCCAAACTTCCAAAGATTCAGATTTGATTAGTTTTTAAAATATGCAAGTCCTACTGTTGCTTCTCAGATGACTACAGTGTGTGTGTAGGCTTTCCTAATGTTGACTGTACTCTGATTATAAGTACCATCAGCATAATAATGATGTTTCTGTCAGCAAATATTTCATCT